TAAGCAAAATTGATTCAGGTATTTCAATTTTTACTTTCTTTTTTTTTGTCAATTAAAAAAAAACAAAAAGTGAATTGAATTTGTCTATATGATTTAGGTAGTATTCATCCAAATCGAATACATTCAGGCATTCAATGTCTACGATCAATTGCTGATAATCGATCTAATCGCTCTCAATATGCTAATTTCGATGATGAGCAAAGAAATAAATCAAGAAAAAGCTGTGCACTTTGTCAAACATAATTTAATTCTATTGATTATTTAATTAAGATCTTAAATTTGTATAGAATCAAATAATAATCAATATTTATATTGTGATTATATATTATATAAAACATTTATTTGCAAAAGATTTTATCAGATTTTTTTCTTTCTCATTTTTGCTTTTATGCTTTTCATTTTAATGCGCTTTTTTCTTTCTCAATTTTGTTGATATTGGTGAGATTTTATTTCTATTGATATAAATTCGAATTATTTTTAAATATTTTAAAACAAATAAAAAACTAAAAATCTATTGAGATATCTCCAACAAAAAATACATTGAAAAGTATAGACTTTTCATAATTTATCCTTTTAGTTTTTTATTAATATATTAATAAATATCAATTTGTTTTCATTATGGATTTAAGATTTAATTCAATTTTCTTGATTATCTATTAAATCTTAAATAAGAAAACATTTTAAACAAGACTTTATCACAATAACTATTCAACAAACAAAACAAAATAAAAAAAAATAATCGAAATTTATTTGTAAATATTTTTTTTGTTAAGATAATTAAAAATGTTCGATAAGAATATGAAAATATCCTATTGTCTTAATAAATGATTTTATTTTTAAATAAAATCATTCTCAATTTATTGAATCTTATTGAAAAAACTTTCAAAGTATTTTATTTTAATAAGAATTAAATTCTTGACTTTTATCAATAATTAATAAGAAATGTCGACTATCGATTAGGATTATTTTATTAAAGTTCAACATATTAACATATTATTTATCATTTATCGAATAAATATTATTTAATAATAAATTTAAAATGCTGCTCAATAGGATTGTTAATATTCAAATAAAATATGAAAAAAAAAACAAGAATAATTGTTTATCTTAGGTACGATTCCTATTGATCAAATTGGTGTTGGAATATTTTATAATAATCGACGAACTCGTCGTTTAACAGGAACATTTAGTTCACATGAAGATTTTAATATAAATATAAATAAATCAATTTGTTCGATATGTAATTAACGTCAACAAGTTTTTTTTGTTAATTATTATTTTAAATAAAGTTTTATTTATAATAGAGATATTATTTTATTTATTTATCGAATAGAAATTATTCAATTTATTTATTAATCAACATTCTTTTAGAATTATTTAATAGATTTTTTTTTTAAATTTATCTTTATCATTGAAATTAATTTAATTAAATAAATAATCTTTCTATCCTATATATAATATATTAACTTTTTCTTTTTCTTTCGAGATATATTTAAACAAAGATCAACTTTAAAAACAGTTCTCCTAAATTTCAAATATAAAAAAAACGAATAAATTGAAATATTAAAAGTTTTTTATTAAAGAAAATAATATCTTGATTTACATATTTAATTATAGAAAAAAGAATATTCAAAGAGAATTTTATTTTGTTTTCGAAAAAAAACTAAATATATTAGTTATTTTTCAGTTGTTATCTATTCAATAAATTCAATTTTTCCATCGATATTTATATAATTGATTTCGATTTGTTTATCTTATAGGAAAAGAATTATTTTATTTATTTATTCGATAAACTATCGAAATAAAACTTTTATTTATCTTAGTCAAATATGAAAACAAATCAAATCAATAAATTTATCTGAGGTTTGACCAATATCTATGTCTGATTAGTTCTTATATATAATCAATATTAGAATATTTATCATTTATTTCATTTTTTATATTATTCAGAGAATAACAATGACAACTAACTATATTTATATATATAACAATTCCATTTATTACGACATCTAACTCATCTTCTCATTCAATGGCTCATTTTAGTCTCCACTTATATCTACTCTATAGACTTTTTTTTTTTATTATTTACCTTTTTTATATAAAGATTCTTGCTTTTAGAACATATATAGGAATAAGTAGATTTCTAATAACACACCTTCTCCTACTATTATCAAACAAGTCAAAATAAAGAAAAATAACGGTTGAGTGTTTCATCTATGATATAAATGTTTAATAAATAGATAAGCTAGTTATATATAAGAACAAAGTCCACCGTTTTGCATACATGTAAAAGTCGAATAGTCGTTACGACTATTCATTCGACTTTACGACTATTCGACTTTTCAACTATTCGATAAGGGCGCCGCATAGGGTGTCACACCACGTCTATTTCGATGTCGGTGCCGCGAAGGGTGTCACACCACGTCTATTTCGATGTCGGTGCCGCGAATGATGCTATAAGCATCACCTGGGTTGCTAGAAGCATCACCTGGGATGCTAGAGGCATTGTCTGGGATGCTTCTAGCATCATAAAGAATACTTCTAGCATCATAGGGAATGCTTCTAGCATTCTAGGGAATACTTCTAGCATCATAGGGAATGCCTATAGCATACCAAGTGATGCCTCTAGTATGCCAGACGATGCGATTAGCATCCGAGGAATGCCAGTAGTTGAAAAGTCGGATAGTCAAATAGTCGAATAATTGAATAGTTGAATAGTCGAAAAGTCGAAAAGTTGAATAGTCGAATAGTTGAATAGTTGAAAAGTCGTTACGACTTTTCGAGTTCTACACTACTGGATATTTTGGATAGAGACTGATATCAGTGAACCGTGATTGCAAGCACCACCTCACCCTGAATCGATTGAGATAAAGTGAAGTTATCAGTTCAATAATATCATTACATTCTGAAAGTAATATCTCAATCGTCTTTTGACATTAATATTGGCGGAACTCCTCATTTCTAAGCACATTGATGAGGCTATCTACGGTTAAAAAAAATTGATAAGAAGTTAATCTAGTATAATGGAGTTGTCAAGTTCATATTAAAAAGTTTCATCAAGTAATAAACCATAGTTTTCACTAGAGAGTCAATAAATCGAGTTCAACTCAATCAATTGAGTTAAAAATTTCAGCAATAAGTTCTGATGAGCTCCTAAGTTTATGGTAGAATTTTCCGAGATGTAGCTCAATGTTAAGCTGAGATAGAGCCATGAGAAGGGTTCACCAGAATATGTTTTGTTAATCGATGAAATCACCCTATTTATGCGATCAGCTTTGAACACAAGAAACTACGTATTATGGGCTACAATTAGTGAAAAAAAATCGAAAAAAAATTGTACAGGGGCGAAATGGGAAAAAAATATTTAATGAGATTGGATTTCCATGCTATTTGTTGAAAAGAGAAGTAATAGTGCTTTTATAGATGTGTAACTCTCGAATACTATGGAATTTACGGTCATTGTTTAGAAAATGCTTTTTTTCTGTCAGCGCATTCTAGAGAACGTATAAATGACGTTAATTCAATTAATAAGAAACTTAATGAAGATATGAGAATGATTTTGATGGTGAAATCTTTATAAAATGAGAGGATCTCGGGTATTGGTACTATAGGAATTGTATGTTGACAGAACTGAATGGAAATCCAATCTCATTAAATATTTATTTCCAATTTCGTCCTTGTACAATTTTTTTTCGATTTTTTTTTCGCTAATATTGAAGAAAAAGACATGTTGATGTCTCCTCTTTCATCTGATGAAAATCGAAATTCTGTAACTCTTTCGATTGTTGAATTATTGTAAAAATACTGATGACCATTTCTTTTTTTAAACAAGCATTAGTTTAGAATCAAAATGATAAAATTCATATTGTCTTACTTATTATGTAATTGATCGATGCATCAATAAGTTTAATTAGTAAAATCGAAGGTCTAAGAGAATATAAACGATAATAATATCATATTGAATGAGCTTTTTGTTTTTGTTTTTGTTTTTTTGATTGATCCTTTGTTTTGTTTGTCAATATATCTCGAATATATTTATTTAATAAATATAATTAAAGATAATGATAAAATCAACTGTTGATGATAATGTTGAAGGAGAATGGAATAATTCAAATTTATATAGTTCAACAAAAGATTGTGAAAAAGAAGAAAGAATTGAATTTAAAGGAAATATTCCTCAATGGTTAAAAGGTACACTTTATCGTAATGGAAGTGGAGCTTATGAAATAAATAATGATTTAACAACATCATTTAATCATATATTTGATGGTTTTGCTTTTATTCAAAAATATTCAATTGATGGAGAATCAAAATTAGTTAAATTTCGTGGATCATTTATTAAATCACATGCATTTACTCAATCTTTAATAAATGGTCATTTAATTGTACGACAATTTGGTACAGATCCATGTAAATCAATTTTTGGTCGATTTAAAACACTTTTTCGTGGTAGAGATCCAACAACATATACTGATGATACTGGTGTTACTATTCAAATCGTACATAATCGTTTATTAGCACTTACAGAAACAGTAACAGGTAATATTCTTGATCCAGATACACTTCAATTAATAGGTCCACTTATAACATTACCTTATTCTCAACCACTTGACTCAGAAATAATGACAATAACAACAGCTCATATAATGCATGATGATAAACGTCAAATGACAATTGGTTATAGTGGAAGAATAACACGTAAAGAACATTGGCTTGATGTTATATTTATATCGGATGAATCATTTAATCAAGATAAGAGAGGTTTATTTCATTTATTTAATAATAAATATTAAATTATTGAAATATATTTTTTTTTTTCTTTTTTTAAATAGAAGATGAAGATATTGATAAATCAATATTTGTTAATGATCGTTTTATTCATATAACAAATAATATAAGTTCACAAGCTAAAGATTATAATAATTCTATTAAATCAAGTACAAAACTCTTTCGTTTTCCATATGAATATGCATCTTATATGCATTCAGCATCGATTAGTGAAGATTATTTAATTCTTACTGAAATTCCATATCATTTTAATAAATTTAATGCTATTTGGAATAGTATTTCAGGTGGTACAATAACAGATATGTTTAAATGGAATGGAGAAACAATGGCAACTTATTTTCGTATAATTAGTTTAGATACAGGTGAACAAATTGGACGTATTCCTGGTCCACCATTTTTTACATTTCATCATATTAATTCTTATCAAACAAAACATAATAAAAATATAATTATTGTTGATATATGTGCTTTTGATGATCCAAGAGTAATAAATGAAGCTTATTTGGATAAATTACGTGAAAATAAATTTCCTTCAGGTGCTGGTTATCTTCGAAGATTTAAATTAGATTTAGATTCAAATACATGTATTGAACCAAATGCTAATGCAAGAGAACCAAAAGGAAATCATTGTTATAGTTATGCACATAGTCTTGTACCAGTTCAATTTGAATTAGCACGTATTAATCAAAAATATATTGGAAAAGCATATCGATATCTATATGGTGTACGTGGTCCACCTAATAGATTATTTGATGCTCTTATTAAATTAGATGTTGAATCAAAAGAACAAGTTGCTTTATGGGAAGAACCATTTACATCACCAAGTGAACCTATTTTTGTTCAAAGACCTGATTCAAATTATGATAAAGAAGATGATGGAATTATTTTATCAATTGTTTTAGATCAACAAGCTAAACGATCATTTATACTTGTACTTGATGGTATTACATTTAAAGAACTTGATCGTGCTTATCTTCCAATACATATTCCATTATCATTTCATGGAAATTTTTATTGATTAATTATATATTCAACAATTTTCTAAATGATATTATCTAGGTTTTTTCCTTAACTTATATTAATATAAAAATAAAATTTCAAAAGAATAGAGTTTAGTTATCAGATGACAATTCTCTTTAATAATTATTTTATCTAAAATATTTTAAAGAATAATTTAATACTTTTATCTTTGATTATTTCATAGATAAACTATATAAACTGTTTACTTTAAATGATTATTTTCAAGAGTCTCATAATAAATATTTATTTATTTTTGTTTGACAAAAATAATAAGAGTGTGAGTGGAATGCGGATTTCGCCTATATTGACATTGACATCTATTTTCCATGAGCTACCTAATTCGAGTTATAATATAAATGAAATATCAACTGTCTAATATCACTTCGAAAATAAATGAAAAAAAAATCCAGTCAGCACTTGCTTATAGAAGAAAAAAAAAAGTTTGTTATAAATTATAAATTATAAATGAGATAGAACTTTTCTATAACTGAGCCAGAAAAGCAGAAAAAACGATTATAAATTATAATTTATTACTTCGATAAGAATTTTACTTAAATTTGCCTCGAAGTAAAATCTTGAACAAATCATATCTCACATTGAATATCGATTGGTATAGACGCGCCTTTACCAGGTTACTCACCTGTGATATCGGGTTCATAGAGCGGGGATGCTAGACACTCGCCGAAGGGCTAGAACCGGTCCTCATCTCTATGGCCTCAATGATGGCAATATTTCTCTACTTCTGATTGAGCTAAAAATAAAGGTTATGGAATTAAATATGTGGATTGTTCTTGTTCAGTAAGTGAATATGTATAAATAGACCATAAGATGGCTAATTCGAGTTCGAATATAAATGGAGAACTACCCAGGCAGACAAACGTTAAAAAATAAGGCGTTTAAACGCGTTGAGGTTCTGTAATAGCAGCGTTTAAACGGCATTATTATGTAATTTTCAAACGCGTTAAAACACGTAACCCAGATGCAATCTGTTAAAACTTGTAAGTTTTTCAAAATTTATGCGTTTAAACGCATTCACAGATCTAAATATATTTTAATAGAGTAATATGTTAAAGGCAAGTTTAGTCATTTATTTTCCTTTGAAAGTGGGTTACTACTTGCAATATCTGTACAATATAATTTACTTATTTAACAAAATAAATTTTATTATGTTAGTGTATTATCTGATCAAAGTTAAAATATAGGTAGTCAATTTAAAGAAAATATATTCCGTATTTATACAGCATCCCAGTAGATATAGACATTTCAACTGATTTATGATCAAATGAGAAACTATTTATAGAATTTAACATAGAAAAGAATATTTTTAAAATAGTTTTATAAATTTTATTTTTCTCATATATGAGAGATTCTATTTGGTAGTGTCTTCATTGATTTTTATTTAATCTAATTCATCCTATAGTTTTTCTTCAAATTCATGTTCGATTCTTATCTGCTTATAAAATTGATTCATTAGTAGTTTGTTATTTTGACATTATCAAAATCTCTTGTAATATGAGGGATTTTAAAGTGAAAAATATAAGTTTAAATAATCTTAGTTTAATGTAATAAAAAGATAAGCATATGAATAGAATCATCTTATATTTTATTCATAAGAAAAAATAAATGAATATTAAAAAGTTGAAAATAAAAGTTAAATGAATTCTGAAAGATTAGGAAATATTTGAGATCCATAAATAGTATTTGTATTCTCGTCAACTTGATATGAAACTTTTTCTTTAATTAAGTCAAAACTTGTGGAGATAGTCTCTCCTAGTATAGTAACAGTAGCATCAATAGAATTTTCAAAATGTAATGCGAAATAGAAATATTGATCTCAATCTTACACCAATTGAACCAATGATACGACAAATAAATACAAGGTCAACAAATTTCAAAGTAGAACGTAAACAGTTCCCAGTAGTTCTTTGTGAAGGTATGACCATATACAAAAGTCAAGGTGGTACTTATGAAAAAGTTGTTGGCAATTTGAAAAAGGGGATGACAACGTCTGACCTATACGTCGCTTGTAATCGTGCAACAAAAGCAACTGGTTTATATTTAATTAGTGAGTTTGTTCCACGAAAACCACCTGAAAGTAATGATACAGTGGCGATGATGTTTAAAACAATGAGATCCGAAAGAAAGATCAAATTTTCACTTCAATTTCCCGAAGAATCGCAAGGAGAAAAAATTTTATTTGATGTTTCATAATGTACAATCATTGAATAAACATTTTTTGGATGTCAAATCTGACAATATATTTTTGTCTGCTTCTATGATAAGTCTTGTTGAAACATGGACAAAACCTAGTGACTATTTGGAAATTGAACGTTTCAAGATAGTTCAAAGACCTCATTCTCATCATATACAAAAACCATTTGGTCAAATTATTTATTTTAAGTATGAAAGTATTGCCGAAATATGTAAATATTCAGGAAAAAATCATATTGAATACTCTTCAATAAAAATTGATCATTTTTGTATCATTTCTATTTACAATTCACCAAATTCATCATTTGATGTCGTAAAACGACATATTAATGAAGTTATCACCGTTTCCAAACGATTTTGTCAAAATCTAATTGTTGTTGGTGATTTTAATATAGATTTAGAGATAAAAACCAATTAGAAATTTATTGAATATATGAAATCATTCGGACTTACTTTGAATAATAAATTAAATAAAAGCTCAACTAATGCTAAAACACAGATTGATTATTGCTTCACTAATATGAATGACTTGAAAGTTGATTATTTTTAAAGTATCACGAGTTTTCATAAACCTTATATGGATAAGAAAATGTGAAATTATTATTCAATTTCATGTTGATCAAAACGAACAAATTCATAGAGATATGGATTTTAATCTCAATCATCTTAAAATTAAAGATCAATGTCATATAATGGAAATTGACGAGAAATCTTCGTTCGAAAGTAATGAAATTATTGATTTAAACTCTCGAAAGATTCTTGATTATTTTCTTTCAGTACATCCTATTAATAATAATACTCTACTCATAGATCAAATTTTAAGTCAACCTCAAATAATTAATAATTCACTTCAAAGATCACCATATATAACTCTGCATTATAAAGATCAACCTGTTAAACTCAAACTGAGAACAGAATATTCTGTTCAACCATTTGACTCAGGTCTATGGAAGAACCCGCACGACTGCAGATGGCAATTGTTTGTATAATTCTCTTTCAATAATTAATGTTGGATCTGAAAAACTAACACAGTCAATGAGGCTATTACCAGTCAACGCAATGATTAACAATAGTGATCATTTCAAAAGAATTTTTAACACATTGAACTATTCATTCGACGAACAGATGAAAAGAACAGCCACGGATGAAATATCGGGTGGAGAAGTTCAAATTCAAGCTCTTTCTATAGTCTTATGTCAGCCTATTTATTCATATGTTAAATTCGATAATAATCCAGAAGATGGACATTATATTCCATCTGATATCAGTATACAAAAATTGATTGATCGATTCGATAAAGGTACTGCAGGTGTTCATCTTAAATATATTGGATATAAGTCAGATATGAATAAATTGAATTTATGTGTTCATTTCACTGGCAATCATTATTATGCTCTCCTACCCTTTATAAATAATCCTCAACAATTTATACCCAAGCATGACATAATTAATATCAGTTTAGAAAATGAAACAAGATTCAACTAAAATAAACTAGTTTTTATTTTTTACAAATAAATAAATTCTCCGGAACTAACTCCTCGCCACGTCCTACGGGACAAAAAGAGGGCATCCGCAGGGTCTAAGGGGCGGTTCCTTAGTGCGCTCAAGGATGAATTATTTTAGATAAGTTGATCGAAACCAATCTATCGTTAGCTTCACTTTTCTTCAGTACACATAACACTCGGATTTCAATCCGAGGTTTCCGCATTTATTTAAACATGTGCACGATATACCTCGCCTTTGACAACCTATATGCTGAATACGATGAAAAATAATCTATGAGTATTAGAGCTGCTACATTACTTATTACTTATAATTTATTACTTTTCTTGGTTTTTTCAATTTAATGCGGGTGATAAGATATATAAATAACTGGTTATTACAATTGATAATGCGTATATCTTCTTATCTGCACAAAATTGAAAAAAAAGAAAAAAAAAAGTAATAAATATGAAAGCAATAAGTAATACGTAATAAGTAATATAGCAGCCCTAATAAGTATGATGTATTTCGTTTTCGAGAGAAGTATTTGACGTATGTACACGTACATTATGATTTTCGTGAAATTTTACGAAAAAATTTATTTCATTAGATTTCTTCAACGAAAATCAACATTTGAAGAATTCTTTATTGTTTTTCACTCATCATTATAACTATGTATAAAAATTTTCACTTTCAAGTCTCACTCATATACGCTATATTAGTTTTCGCTTTTCAAAATTCCGAAACCGGTCGGTTTCCGCCACGGATCAGTTTACACAATGAATCGGTAATAATTAGGTACTGATGATTGTGTTCCTGAGTCGCTTCAAGTCTGTGAGTATAGTTTGAGTTTTTCAATACGTTTGACGACGAGGTAGTAAGCGTAACTAATTAGAAGATGCACCTTCGTGAACTTGCCACAATCTAAAGATTGTAGATGACCATACCACAGGAGTAACCTCTTCAACAGCAATAACCACGAGGAAGTCGATGGAATGATCTACTACGGAAAATGCATCAGTATTTATACCCGACCGGGGCCTAATCGATATCAGATGTTCTCCCACTGTTTATTCGGTATCGATCTCTTGAAGTTTTTTATCTATGCTAATGATAATGATCTGGTGATATTATCTTTCTTTCATGTGACATAGTATCTCTTTGATTGTGCCATCACAAAACTCATGATGATATCCAGCTCTTCACTCATTATTCCATATTGTTCTAATGGACTCTTTTCAACTATGCTAATAATGATGATCTCGTGATATTATCTTTCTTTTATTTGACAGGGTATCACTTTGATTTTACCGCCTCAAAATGATGATGATATCCAGCAACCTGTCCTCCACTATATATGCTTCTAATGACTTCATTTGATAAATGACGATGACAATCATCTGTCGGTCTAAAGTTTATTTGACTAACCACGGTGCTACCATGACCATAATAAAACAAAACAGTAAACAGACTCAGAGACACTAGATGAATGCACCTCACTAACTTCGAATTGGTTGTCACAAACTTTACGACCGCTACAGTCAAAAGAATGATTTTAAAAAGAACTATACTATTTCTTCCTTGTTCTACGCTTTATTATCATTCTGCGAAAAATAGAGTAGAAAAGTTGTTCCATACTTCCGCCACTATAGTTTTCCTTTACATGAAATTCAGACACATATTAGGACACCACCGTTCCAAGACACCTAGATTTGCGTTTAGTCTTGGATGTAGCACGCTTTGATTTCGTGCTTTTCGCCAAAAAAACCATCAACAATAAGAGTTCCGAAAAACTAATCAAGAATTCGGACTTCCCGACCCCGATTACTTTTTATCAAACTTTATGAAAAATCATTTTTTTCGTAAGTCTTTCTGAGTCTAAAAAAAACTCAAACTCAAAATTTCGAAAAACTGATTGCAGATTCGGATTCCTCAACCCCGATTACCTATGGCCAAGCTTTATAAGCGGTTCGTAACTCATTAATTTGTTTGCACGTGACTTAACATGTGATTGCAAACATACAAACTCATTTTATTTCATATGAGCCTCTCTTCAGTCGAGGGAATATTGGTGAGACATAAAGGACATAACTGTATAAATCTAAATCTGACAACAAAAAACGATTAATCCTTCCTACAACTTATTAAGAAATGCTTTCTCCAAATAACATGTATTTTACTCAAAGCGCACACTTTTTCTCTAGTGTAGGCATAGAATTATCTATCATTTTAACGCCGACCGCAACAATAGCCACAATTAGAGTCAAAACCACACACTCACTCTCATACATTCCACAACCATCTCCTCACCACCTCACAACTACGCACCATTAAATTCAATTAAGAAAAATTATTTTAATTTGAAACTTTCAATTTGCACTTGCAAAAGATAACAAAATAATTCAATTCTTTTCAATGTTTTACTAAGAAAATTAGCTGAACATGTTTTGTCTTATTTTATTTGAATAGATATATATAATAGTTGAGAAAGAATTGATGATACAAAGACCTTCTAACATAATAATTATATAATTAAAGCCAAATTTGAATAATATTAGTAGAGCATCGTAAGCGACAAGGTCGACTAAGTGGATATTGATGCAGTTCCCGTCGAATTAAATGTGGGAAACAACATGTATTAGAGATAATCAAATTAAAAAAGTTTATTTTCAGGCAAACAAGTTGTTTCAAATGATCAACAATAAAATAAATAATATTGAGAATACGTTTTGTAGATTTGTTTTTTCCGTCAATAATACGAGATGGTTTCCATTGCCAGTGACGATATGAATCAAAAATAGTAAATGAAAATGATCTCAAATTATGAAATTGATTCGACAATAAGGTGCAAAAACGTTGAGCATTTTGTAATGTCCAACTTATATCAAAGATGTTCAATGATTTTATCTAAATAATAAAATATAATTGATCTCAGGAAAATGAATATATATTTTAGTTATCTAATAAATTTTAATTTTAAAAAATAATAGAAAAATAAATTATTAAAACGAAAGGTAAACATCAATCGAAAATAATTTCAAGATGAAATAATCTCTTTGACAAATTTTTATTTTAAAATAGAATTTCTTACTTGTTCATTGATTTGAGTTCCGAATTTATCTTTATTATGCAAAATCGTACGAACTAAAATTCCTCTATCATCAACTATATCTAGTGTATGTACATTATAACCCATACCTAATATTGACACTAATGTATGTTGAGTAATAACATCACTATGATTGATTTTAATATGTGTTAACAATAACCACGGAACTAATGATGATATAGAACTTCTACAATTGACAAGATCTCGAACACAATTGGTCTTGTTATAACCATAGAAAGATAATGTATTAGCACGTGGAAATAAATCTGTTACATCAGTCGGATTTTGACAAAATCTAAATAGAAAAAAAGAAAGGTTTGTATTGATATTTTATAGAAATAAATGTTCTTGATATACTTTTCAAGATTCGTAGAAAATATATATGATGAAAGAATTGTATCATTATATGGAAAAGTATATATCATAAAACAATGATTTGTATGACTTATATCAGAATCATTGTATTCTTGAATAAAAACTCTCGCTCTTTGTCGATGAATAAATGGAACTTTAAAAAATGAATTGAAAATTATTTTTTCTTCTAAGTCGTCCTCAACATATAATAATAAACTAAGACTATAGGTTGCCATTGGTTTAAGACGATCAATACATAATTCTTGAATAATATCACCTGATATAATCAATCAACCAGAATTTAATATACATGCTTCTAATTTTAATGACAAATGACAAATTTGACTAAGTACAGACGATAAAAGAGCAATCGTTCGATGAAAACTAATGTTATTCAAACAATGTATACGTAGACGAGATAAATATTGAAGATGAGCATCACTAGTGCCCGGTAACCTAAGATGATTGATATAACTGATATATTTATGTATGATCGTATCCTACTTACGTGATTTTATCATGCGCATCATCGTTCTCATTAATATCTTTATCTTTTATGCCAAAAGAAAGATTTTCAATAAATGGTATAGATAATAATAAAGGTTCGATAAAGCGTGACGTATGTATACCAATAGTTAATGTGCGAAGATGATTTCTACTTAATAAATTTGGTAAAGTTATTTGATATTTTAATGAATAGTTTTCTATTTTATTAACATTTCCATCATCATGATTAAATGGAAGTCGACAAATTTTTAAAAGAGGCATTCGTGAACATACCTTTAATTAAATAAATAACAAATTAAATTTTATAGATTATATTAAAAGTAGTTGTTAAAGGAAATAAAAACGAATTCCATATTAGATAGAAAAAGCAGCTGTTTTATTACCTTAACTAGATAGATTCCTTCAACTTGAAAACAATGAAATGGATTATAAGGTGTTACATCAACTAATAAAGTATGTAACTGTTTTATTAATTGATTAGGCAATAATTTATCAAATTCATGTGGGTTAATGTCAATGAGATGTAGACGTTGAAGTAATGTTGTTTGATGATATCGAAGATAAGATGAAATGAGTGACCATCCACCAATAAGATTGGTTAATGTTAAACGTAATGAGAGAATGCGACCTCCTATTAATTTCAAGAGGTTATTGCAATAATTACTGAAGATTAATAATGAGATTGTTGAATCACCAATATGAATGTGCCACAAATATTCATTTATTATCACTCTTGATAAACGTTTAGTTAATAAAAATGATTGAAGAATATAAACTGGAGATAAATAAGAAAAAATTTCATAAAGAATATCATCAGGTAAAATTTTGAATGAATTAACGCTCATCTTTTTTTCTCATGTCTATTGCCTATTCATACTGAGTTATATATATTCACCTAGACAATGACATATTTTTGTTTATTTTGTTTGACGAATCATTTTTTTATCATTTCTCTCTTTCATTCATCATTCCGAACAAATTAATTCAAATAAAATAAAAGAAAAAGGAAAAAGATTGACGTCTATTATTATTGAATAGGTGTTAAGAGAATTTCGTTTGTTTTATTTAATATCTATATATTATATTCTTCAACTATTATTCAAAATAATTCAAATAAAAATGGATAAACTATCTTTTTAAAATTTTATTTTTTTCTTAAATCATAATCAAAATAGTTTTTATCAGAGATCGTCATGCAAAAGTTAATAAAATACAAAAAAAAACCAGATGATCAAGTTTTGAATAAAATAAATGTTTTTTATTAAGATAGTGTTTTTTATATTTTATTTTAATGAACACCATCACGTGGACGATATTGATAATCTTAATCATCAGTTTCTAAAATAAACCTATTCAAATGTTTAGGATTGCTTTCGTTAAGTTTACCATCATATTTAAGCGTAATGGACGTAATGCCTTTAAATTTTATTTGTTGATTATCTTCACCAGTTAATTCTAAACGATAACGTTGTTATTGACGAGGTAAACTATTTAGATGTAAATTAATTCCATCTGTAATACTGGCTTGTTGTAAATTAATTTTTCGATCATATATGAAGTAACGTGTATTTCTAACTGAGTTAACTCCATATACTTTGAAACAACATCGTAACGGATAATTAAAATCGACTATATTCAATCTATCAGGTGTTGATGGTGCTAACTCAATGTATACATTTGAGTTTATAGTTGTTTTCATTCCGATCATTGAAGATCTTATCGAAACTAGAAAAAAAACCAATCTAAGAAACACAAAGGAACGAAATTGGTTGGTTATGTTAAGATGATGTGGATATCAATGTTAGGACAATCTTACCTAAACAAACATGCTGAAATAGAGAGAAGAAAGAAAAAAAAAGTATAACATAGTCACATTGGAATTATAGAGTTTGATAGAAAAGAAAAATAATAGAGAAAATTATCATATGCACCTTACAATGAATTCGATCCATCACTTATTTTTTCTATAGGTAGAAATATTATAAGAAGAATATTTTCACTTTTTAAAAAGAAGAATTTTTTTCTATGATGTATAAAAATAAAATAAAACTAAAAGAATGAAATATTATATTAAATTCTAAAATAATTCTAATTTTAATTTAAAATATTAAATTAAAATTAAATAAATATATTAGAATTTTTATTTTATAAATATTTAATAACAAAAGACAAACAAAGACTAAAATAAATTGTTGAAGAGAAAATTATATCCAAAGACGAAATCGAGATATTTCAATGTCAATCTTACTATCAGGAAAACATTTTCCAACCATAGAACGATAAGATTTCACTTTTTCAGAATCAATTTTTCCACAAATATTAAGAAAAAAAATGTTTTTAGTTGTTGAATTAATAGTCAAAGATTTTCTTCTAAAATAAGTAGATGTTCAACTAAACAAAAAGAATTTACCTTTTCTTCTCAGTTTATTGCTTTTTTATTTCCATATCAATCGATTGAGATGTTGGTAAAGATTCTATCTATCATCAAACTTCAATAGGATAAAAAATATCCTGGTCTTAGATCTGGTCGAACTAAAAATAAAAGAATACTATTCATTTATATAATCGACAACTTTTTTTTAATTATAAATATTTTTATTTTATTCAACAAGTTATAATCACATTCTTCACTTTCAATTCCAATTTTCTTTAACAAAATAGGAATGCTTAACCTTTTTTTTCTAATTAAGATAAGATCTAATTCTCATATTAATAAATACAACATTAAACATGACAATAGCAAACAACATTTATTTACAAGAGTACAGAGTCACAAATTGATAGACAAAAAGCCGGCACGGAAAAGCAAAAACGCTAAATTTCCAAGGAAAATCAGTATATAAAAAAAATAGAAATTCAAGTTCAAAGGGAGGGAGGTGAGCGTACTTCGCTCCTTGCCCAAATCTAGAACTGATTTACAGTAAAAGGACTAATGCGAGAAAACACAAGCAACGAGGCAAGGTAAAGAAATATAGAAAAGAATATTTTCAAGGTGGTGATGAATGATAAGAGAAAATTGCCTATGGAATTTCGAATGGAGTAAAGAGAAAAAGATAAAAATTTATTAAAATGACATTTTTTTAAAATTCGGTAAAAATCAAATTTTTTTTTGTTTTGTTTTATATCGATAGAGATGTGCAAGACTAAGCGAAAGGGTAGGAATTTTTTTTTATCACCGAATATCGCTAGACAGAAATGATCACCAAAAACTATAGTTTTTATCACCAACTTTTTTTCAGCACATATTTTACATCATTAGTTTTCCGGCTGCAATTTTTCTAATCAACAAAACAAGGGGATTTTCATCATCATATTTTCTTTCATCAAATGATTATCAAGAATAGACACTTTTGATCATAAAATGTTTTCAAATAATTCTAATATTTCAACATATCTTTATCTATATCATCGGTTACACTTCAACTTTCTTTCACCTACGTCTACACCAATTTATATATGTTTGCATATATCACTTATGCACGGAAACGTCGATGCGAAAGCATCTTAGAAAATATCTACTAGATTCTCACCCTTCTTCATCAAGCTGAAGAAGTTCGAAAGATATTGTACCGTAGGTTTAACATCTAGTCAATACTGTTTGTTTTCTACATTATATTTTGTTAAGGTGATCATTTATATCGCAAATCATTTGATGATCAAAACTACAATTACTCTAAGAGAAAAAATTTTATTGAGATAAAATCAATGGTTATAGTTAGATGATTTATTTTATTATTTTGACTGATCAAAATAAAGCTAATATGAGAAAATTTTAAAATGTGTTATTTGTTTAATAAGTAAATCGGACAATAATACTTTAAAAGGTATTTAAACATATCTGAAAATAATGCTCTCAAAATTTCAAATAAGACTGCACGAAAAGAAGTTACCACAATAAAAACAAAAGGAACCTGATTTTTCATATATCTATGCGTCGAAATCGATAAGTTTTCTTAATGATGTGTACATTAGGATGTTTAATGATTTATTGATGTTTAGATAAATAAGAATGATGAGCGAGTTCTTTTTGTCTATGATGAGTGTATATTTTATTGTATTTTTCTTTTTTTCTGATGACGGAGATATGAGGACGTTGAACGATCGGTTAAATCTCATTCAAGAATAAACTTATTTTTCCTACTAACTACTGTATCATTCAATATCTTCTGCGTAACCACCTCTTTAAGGTTGAAACTTTTATAGTAGATACTAGGGCTGTGGGGCTATATAATGATGAAAAAAAAGTCTGGGTAACCAATCATAACTCGAGATATCGAAGTTTTACCAAAATTTACTGCATTTTTAGCTGGTTTTATGGATTTTTCACGAACTTTGTTGAACAAAGAAAGATAAAAATATCATATTCGGAATCAGCATGAAAAACTGAGTCAGATGATATATGTTTTATTTAAAAAAAAATTCCATTCGAAAGTGACCCCTACTCTCCCTCAGCACTTTTTTATAAAATTTTTGCCTGTGATCCCCCTCAGGTAAGTTTTTGATGGAAATTTTTTTAAAATAAAACATATATCATCTGACTCAGTTTTTCATGCTGATTCCGAATATGATATTTTTATCCTTCTTTGTTCAACAAAGTTCGTGAAAAATCCATAAAACCAGCTAAAAATGCGGTAAATTTTGGTAAAACTTCGATGTCTCGAGTTATGATCGGTTACCCAGACTTTTTTTTTCATCATTATATAGCCCCACAGCCCTAGTATCTACTATAAAAGTTTCAACCTTAAAGAGGTGGTTACGCAGAAGATATTGAATGATATAGGCCTACTAATAGCGACATCTGTAACTCGGTTATAGAGCGACATCTAGAACTGGGAATCATTTTGTTTTGTAGCGCAACTCAATATGTATCTATCCTGAAATTTTCATGATTCTATATCATCCCAATCAAGAATGGCACGCTTGTTAGTGAACACGCATGACATTAGCATCGTCTATTGAAGAAGAATGGTCTTACACTAAAAATTGAATATCTCAGCAATGGTTTGAACTATCGAGGTACGGTTGGTGACAAAAAAACTGATTAATTGATGCACTTTTCAAATATGGAAGTGAAATCAAAATTTAAGAAAATCGATTGAGCAGCCTCTGTAGCAAAAGGTCGTGGGTTATTGTGCAATGGCTGTTAAAGAAACAAAATGTTCTCTATACTAGCTTAATCGATTTTGAGCAGGATTAAATCAACGACTTACAAGATGCTACAATTTTTCACTCTTCTGAGTCGATTCTGCTCTTCTAGTTTAACGATGAAGTACCTAATTATTCACTTTTAATTCTTTAATAACGACTTTTGAACAGGAAACGAATTACTTTGGTAGTATCATTTTACTCAGTAATATTTTTTTTATAGACAAAGCTTGACTTCAATAATCATTAAACCATTTCTGGAGCGTTTATTCTATTGTTATGGTGAAAAATTCCAGTGTCTCGTACATGTTTAGTTTTTTCTCTCTCTAAATCGATTAGAATATGGCGAGAGAAGATTTTTCTCTGGATATTGTCGAGAGTTTAATGGTAGACCTTTAAAAGCGATGCAAGTTTTTAACAATTTTCGGTGCAAAGATAAATGAAAAACAGATCTTATTTCAAATATGTGTGTTAACTCCAATATAATTTGAAGTAGAAACCTTTTATACACTTTTCCTTTCAGCTTTCTAAAATTCACCGGAGCAAATGAACAAGATTTTTTGTATCTCTTTGTTAGACACCACCGAAACACATTTTTAAAAAATTCAATATTTTACCATTTGCATATGCAAAGATATGTATAAAATAAATTCTATTGATAGTATTTTTGGGATATTCAATATAAACTCAGAATGAGATT